ATTTTTTTTTTTAATTTTATTATTTTAATTTTATTTTATTTTGAGACAGGGTCTCACTATGTAGTTGAGACTGACCTGGAACTCACTATGTAGCCCAAGCTGGTCTTGAACTCAAAGCAATCCTCCTGCCTCAGCCTCCCAAAGGCTGGGATTACAGGCATGTGCCACCATGCCCGGCATTGATTCTTTTAAAACTAACCTCTTTATATAAACAGACAGTGGGTAAAGTCTAGATTAGTTTTATTTCATAGAATATTTGTTGATACTTGTTTACAATGCAAGAAAAGATTTCCTTGTTATGGCATATAAACCTAGTTTCTAATGGTCTTATTTTTTAATTATAAAAGATTTGCCTTTTTATCTCTCTTCCTTTGTATTTGATTATGAGTTTGTACCTAGATGTGGAAAGAATTGCAGAAGAACTTTAGCTTTCTATAGAATTTTTACCATGTAAATGATGTAGAATAAAGAAGATCTTAAGAACCTTTTGCCTCCTTTTGAGTACTGATTGCTATCTCACTTATTTTGTTGGCTTGCCTTTTTTTCTTCTTGGTATTGGAGATCGAACTCAGGACCTTGTCCTTGCCAGTCAGGCGCGCACCACTGAGCTACACTTCCAACCCCATTTATTTTGTATCTAAAACAATGTGTGGGTACCATTCCTCTGGGATGCTGTTGTGGGGATATAGAGTATGAAGAAGGGAGTATCTGGGGTAGTCTGGGTTGGTACATAAAAGTTAGAGCCCTGTTCTGGGACTTTTGGGACATTTTTACTTGAGATTAAAAACTGACCTAAAGATACATGAGATTGCTTTGGGTGGTAAATCTGTGGCTTCAGATTTAGGTGAGTTTAGATGAATCTGTAGACCTGGGCCCAAGGTACCACTACTACTGAGTCCACTGTCACGTTGGAGTTTCTGGCTGAGGTGTAAGTGTATTTCTACATCTTAATCCCTGTAGATCTGAGACTATTCTTTGTTTTCACACCATGCTTTATGCTATGATTCCCATGCAGACATTTGAAAGCACTAGATTGCTTGCTAAAACTCATTCTAGGGCCCCATTCTTTGTTTCGTGTAACTTGGGTGGTGGTTACTTGCTCAAATAACATTTCTGAATAACTGAAGTGTATGCTGTTTCTAGAGTCCATTCTTTTAAATTCCTCCAGTTGCTATTGTTGCACAGTGAATACTCCTAAATATGTTTGAACCGTTTTGTTCTGGGGAACTGATTTACTCTGAAACCCTGATTAATCCAATCCAGATATGTCACTGAACCTAGAAACATGTAGCATGCCTGTTAGTCTGCTATTTGTGTCCTTCAGTTATTCAGGGGCTGAATTCACATAAGCCTGAAATTATAATGGATCTATTTCCAAAAGATATATGCTGTTCTTATCAGTAGAAGTACTGGGGGATTGTACAAGGCTTGATTACCCAATGCATCTGTCTTGTCTGCACATATCCTTTTTTTTTTGAGAGGGGGCAACAACAGGGTTTCATGGAGTTCAGGCTGGCCTTGAACTCCATAGGTAGCCCAGACTGGCCTCAAACTCAAGATAATCCTCCTGGCTCGAATGATGGGATTACAGGTATGTGCCATCACACCTGGCCCTACATATCCATTTTTTATTTCCTGGCATTATTTTCATAAAATGTTACAATATTAGATTTCATTGTGTGTTTATTTTAGAAATAACGTGTATTTTCATAAAAGTTTTCTTTCTTAGGTAGGCCCCATCTCCCCCTTTTTGAGGTAGTTTTTGTTCAGTTATCTACCAATATTGTGTTTAAGATCTAGCATTCTGGGATTTTATTTTTCTTTAAGCACAATGCTTCTGTGAATTCAGCTCATTTAATCCGACTGCTATTGTATCTGCTAGTCTTTCTAATCCTCTAACCTGGCTGCTATTCTCTCTCTTTCCCTCTGTCTTGTAGAGAGGTCTGAAGAATGTGTTTGATGAGGCTATCCTAGCTGCCCTCGAGCCTCCGGAAACTCAACCCAAAAGGAAGTGCTGTATATTCTAAACTGTTTTCTCCTTCCCCTCTTTGCTGCTGCTTCCTGTCCCACTACTGTAGAAAGATCGTTTAAAAACAAAGGAATAAAATCATCCTGTTTGAAAGCCTCTGCGTCTTTTTACTCACCACCTTAGAGCAACCTCTGTATTAGTTTTTGATCAAGAATGCAATATCTTAATAGAATATTTTTTGTGATCAGTAGTCAAGTTGGACTCACTTAACTTTCTGCTGCTTGAGTTGCCTGATGCTCAGAGCTGTTTGGTTTGGATTTCTTTTACAAAAGGGAACATGGTCTGGCATTAAGGATGTCCTCTTGGAGAAAAATAAGAGTTTTAACATTTCTAGATCATAGTTCTAGATGGAGAAAGAAACACAAACATCATTTTACTCTTATGATCAATTGTTAATTGTAATTGCATGACAAACTTTATGGAAAAAGGGTGACTTGCTAGTAGAATATAATGGGGAAGGGAGGATTCTTTTCTGGTTTTCTTTGTGCAGCAAAATTTTGTGTTGCTATTGCTTTGGCTGTCTGTGCTGTAGTGGAGTATTTGTCAGTCTGGGGTGGGGAAGATATGTATCTGCTACTGCTTTATGAGTTACTTGTTACATTATCTTTTAAGATAGCATCCATTTTAATAGTTGACTTAAGGTTTGTTAATGTTGAGATGTAAAGCTGCCTTCTTTATATTTCCTGCTTCTAATTTTATTGTTGTGAAGGAAACTTACAATTGTGGTTACTTTTAAAATTTGAAATTAAAAATATACAATTGTTTGTATAATGCCTGGTGAAGCTTTATTCCTGTTACACTGACTGGCTCTGATTTTACATATGTATCAGGTACTCACCTGTTTGCTTGCTTGTATCCCCTTGGCTCTAATTGGTGGGATAAAGGGGTTCAAAGTGAATCTCTATGGCAGCTGCCATGACTGTGCTTTCTGTCTTTGCCTGTGCCTTCCATAGAATAAGGATGCCACTGCCCAGGCATTCTCTCAGTCTGCACATCCAGCTGTTTCACTTGAATGCAGAGCTGCTTCCCTTGTTTCTATGTAAAATGTATCAACAGCAGATTACAAACTTATATTGAATGAGCAAATGACACATGTGCTTGTTTGCTTCTTGTGACATACATTGGTCTGCAAAAAGCTTTCTCAAAGGACCACTGTCTCACTCATGAACATCTGCTCCTCTGCTCCTGCATTGCTGAATCTTTCCAGTGCCCTGCCAGGACAAAACTTGGTGAAGTGAGACTATTGCGTTGAGATTTAGGATTGTATTTAATGTTTCTTTCTTTGCACACTCTTGGGGGTTTAACTGTTTTAAACTTGAATTCTAGCTCTATTTGCGCTGAAAATCAGACTGCCCATTTCTTCTTTCTACCCCTTTTCAGAAAGGCCTAAAGAATGTGTTTGATGAAGCAATATTGGCTGCCCTGGAACCTCCAGAACCGAAGAAGAGCCGCAGGTGTGTGCTGCTATGAACATCTCTCCAGATCCCTTTCTGCACAGCTGGTGTCGGCATCATACTAAAAGCAATGTTTAAATCAAACTAAAGATTAAAAATTAAAATTCGTTTCTGCAATAATGACAAATGCCCTTCACCTACCCACATGCACTCGTGTGAGACAAGGCCAATAGGTATGCCCCCACCCCTCCCAGTACTAGTTAATTTTGAGTAATTGTGATTGTCAGAAAGTGATCAGTACTAGTTTTCGTTTTGTTGTTTCAAAACAAATTTTTTGTTGTTGTTGTTTAAAAAGTAAGGCATGCTTGTGATGACTCTGTAACAGACTAATTTGAATTGTTGAAGCTGCTCCCTGGTTCCACTTGAGAGTAATCTGGGACATCTTAGTATTTTTTTTCCCTTCTTTTTTGGGGGGGAGTGCGTGTGGGGGTTTGTTTTTTAGTCTTGTTTTTTTTTTTATTTTTATTTTTATTCATTAATTAGTGGACAACCCTTAGGGGAGGAGGACGGATTGATTCCACATTCCACTTCCTAGGTCTAGTTTAGAAAAACGTGTTCCCTACCTGGTGCTCTTAGGAAGGAGTATAGTAAATGCCTCCTTTAATAATATACTCCTTTTTGAAAGTTGCCTTTTTTCCTCTCCACCCTTGAGTAGATCCAGTATTTGATGAAACTCTTGAAGTGGGTGGAAGCTGTCTTGTCCCTCCTCTTTTCTAGGATGCGCTCTTTGTGACTGTGACTTGCAAGGAAATTTGTTTGCCATTTGCTAATTTTGAAGTTAATTTTAACTTCTTTCACTGATAAATGAAGAAGAGTATTGCATTTTTTGAAATACACCAAATGGGTTGAGTTTGTAATTTAAAAAATTTCCCCGTCAGTCATTGTCTTATATGCTTAGCATAGATTTGCAACTCAGTGGTGTTTGGTGTTCCTAGAACCCACCTGAAGATCTGACACACAGAGGAAATACTAGGGGTGGTGCTACAAGACAGATGCCTGTGGGATAAGTGGCATCCTCTTTCAGGTTGTGAGGATGCAGGCCTGCTTCATTAAGAAGCTGGGGTGGGTAGGGGTGGGGAAAAACACTTGACAACATGGGGACCAACTAGGGGAATCCCCTTATTTCTGTTTTGCAAATGAGGAGCTATATAGCAACCGGTTGAGGCGCTCTAGTTTAATAAAAATCATACAAGTAGTCTTATGAAGACTGTTAGTGTTAATAGGGATTTTATCAGCTTATTTTTGTTGCAGATTACAGGTTTTAAAATGTTTAGGTAATTTTTTTCATTTTCCCAAAATCCTAATTCTTGTAGATTTCATTAGTGTTGAACCAATGCTTTCTCATGTCTCAATCTTTGTATATGCATTCTTTTCAGACATATTAAACAAAAGCCCTTCACAAGCCAGCCTGAAGGTTGTTATTTTCCCTCCGCCTCTTACTTTTCAGGTATTTAGAATTGGGAACCTGACTTTTAACAGAACATCAGTTTCTTAACACATTTTGGAATAAGATTTTTATAGCTTTATTATTTTGTTTCTTTTCTGACATTCAATTTTAGGTATTTTTCCTTCAGATGTTTAGGTTTGTGCTTTTTTCAAACCTCAGTTTGACAGCCAGTCATGAAACTCTTTCCTGTAACTGATTAAGTACCCACTAGGCCTGTAGCAATTCTTAATACAATATGTTCAGAAAGCTCTCTGCTTGCAATGAGAAGACATAGTGCACACCTGTGGTCCTTTAAGTAGTGGGAAAGCAGCCAGTTTTCAATTAACTTGATTGCTCTCAAATTTGACTACTTATGAGAGTGCAGCTTTAGCAGTAGTATGTATGTATGGATGAATGAACGATAGGGCTTTACTCTGTAGTCCAGGCTGGCCTCGAACTACGGCAGTCCTCCTGCTTCAGTAGCAGTAGAATTTTAAAGTTTTCCAGGTATCTTTAAATTCTAATTTGAGTACCACTGTTCCTGGATAGTCCCTATGAGTCTCAGATTGAAGATTCTGTGCTGTGAATCTGAATCATTTTCATTAGGTGGAAAGGATGACATATTTACTTTAAGGGCTTTATGCTGATCTGCTCAAGAATCTTAGCACCTTAATCCATTTAAGGTTGTTTCAGAATAGTTCTATATAGGGAGGTATGATACCATACTGTGCTAACATTAAGCAGGTTTGTTTGGAAAGGTTTTAGGAAGACGCAGGTGTAAGCTTTGATGGTTTTAACCAATATGTCTTATTTATTCCTTGTTGTCCATATTAGGGAGAAGTATGGGGGTCATGCTGTGATATTCTGGGAAGCAGAGACATATTCCTGACTTCTTAGTAAAGTGGCATATAAGTCCTTGATTATTGTTGTTATCCTAGTCCTGCAGCAGTGCTTGACTCATGATAACACTAAAAATAGTTGTTGGAAGGGCACTTGATATTAAAAACGAGTAAGTCAGATAAAGAAGGCCAGTAGTTGTGCTGACGAATTATGCGTGCATCAGAAGAACAAGGCTGACAAGGGAATTGATTAAAGCTAATTTGATATTCTGTTTAAATATTTTCAATTTGGCATTCCATACCAGGTAGCAAATGGATGAAGGTAACGTGATTTTCTATTTAAATAGTATGTTCTCTTTGACTCAGCAAGCTCATTTAGTCTTGGCTTAGTAGGTGTGGTTTCAAAGGAAAGTGCAGGATTTCCTTTATTCTAAGGTGTGTTTCTCACATTTTATATTAAATCAGAATACCTCCAATTTGTGTACATTTAGAGTAGTTGATTTTTCCCCCCTTTGGTTCTGAAAAGCTGCTGTTAAATTAGTGGTATCTTACAGTTGTTACCTTTGGCACTGCTCTAGGAGGATTGAAGCTTAGTCCTCAGTGGGAATAGCTAGCTCACGTCAGACACGTGCAGTAGTGTTGGGAAAGGGCCTCAGCTGGAGGTAGCAACCCCTTATCTTTCAGAGAGCTGAGCTTTTACATGGTCAGAGTATCTATCTCTGATTATATTAGGAAAGTGACTTTAAATATTCTAATTTAGCTTCCTTGTGCTCTGTGGCTCTTACCCTGTGTTCACTCAACTTCAGAGCATGGTGATTTAATTACATAGAACAGCTGAAAACCTTACCAAACATGTACAGTGCTTTCTTTCCTAGGGCTGTTTGAATACTTTTAAGTTATTACTTTGAGTCTTTTTCCAGAGTACTCTCAAAAGTTTTTTTTTTAAATTTTTTTTTTTAAAGCCTCATTTTATTAGCTTTTGCAGAGTAATGCTGATTATAAGCCATGTGGATGGTAGTTTATTATAATGTTTATTTTTCTCATTCCTTTCTCAATTGGCCTTGGCTTCATGCTTCACAGTGGACTCAAGTGGGCTCCATATTTCTCACTGGGGAGTCTTTCTGCAGAGAACCCTGTCTACTTTAGAATGAACTTCTCATGGTTGTCCAAGGGGTCAGGGCCAAGCACATTGAAGATTTCTCATATTCTGTTGCCTGGAGAATGCCATATAGATAAGCCCAAAGTCAGTGCCATTCACTTATTGTTATTACAACAAATCATATTTACTTTTTAAGTATTTAAGAAACTATAGCACAGCATAAAATAAATGTCTCCAGATTTCTAATTGGAATTTTCTTCTTTTTGTTTTCTTTGAGACACAGTCTCACTATGTAGTTCAGGCTCCCCTTGAACTCACTATGCAGCCCAGGCTGTCCTTGAACTTGTGGCTATCCTCCTACCTCAGCCTCCCGAGTGCTGGGATTATAGGGATGATCCAGCACCCCAGTGGGATTTTATTTGTTTATTTATTTATTAGGATTCTGATAGCTGCTCCCAAGAAGGTCAGAGGCTTGTATCTGGGAACATACCAATTACACACATCCATTTGCCATTATTTATCGAGTACCTGGGCACTGGAGATACTGGAGAGTGAGTTTGAAGCAGTGCAGTTATAAGTAGCAGAGGCAGGGACTTCCACATAAATGTCCCATAGGATGCCCTTACTATATTCCATGTGCATGTGCTGCAGTACTGGAGCCCCTAAATAGGTATCTGGACCATTGCTAATTAGAAAAGTTCCTGAAGTTCCCAAATACTTTATAAATGTGTTGTAATAATACTGTTTCTCACCCCCTAAGGAGCAGACGTCTGCCATATGCCAGAGCTATTATGGTAAATATACAAATATACTTTGAACCTAATGGTACTTCCATAGATGTGGTACTCTCATGTGGTCTACGAGTTACATAGTTTGTAGTCAGTATAATATTGAGGTGATTGTTATTTTA